TTTTTAAGGTTTATTTTACTTATGAGACAGAGACAGAGCATGAACAGGGGAGTGTCAGAGAGAGAGGGAGACACAGAATCGGAAGCAGGCTCCAGGCTCTGAGCCATCAGCCCAGAGCCCGATGCGGGGCTCGAACTCACGGACCATGAGATCGTGACCTGGGCTGAAGTCGGACGCTTAACCGACTGAGCCACCCTGGCGCCCCCTATTTAAGTACGGAACTAGAAATATCAGCCAGGTGAAGGCTGCTTGCACAACAGAATGTAAATGTTATAAAACCTGTCAGAGGAAAAAATAATTTCCACCACAAAAATTGTGTAGGGGGGGTGGGTGGAGGGGCATCGACTTGCTAGGAATTTGTAAGGCAGAGTCAACCCGCGGCACCTAAAATTAAAACACGCCGTTGAAAAACATGCAACGCAGTGACTCTCGCCCCTGAATGGTTTTTATTCCCTCTCCCTCTCCCTACTTTAGAGGGATCTTTTACGAATTAATCTCTCTTGAGCTGAATTGGCATTTGTCTAAAGTCTGGCCATTCTTCCCATTTTATGTCCATATCTTTCTCCTCAGTTGAGTTCTAGTAAGATTACATTTCATGATTTTCATTTTATTTTATTTTTTTATTTAAAAAATTTTTTTTTCAACTTTTATTTATTTTTGGGACAAAGAGAGACAGAGCATGAACGGGGGAGGGGCAGAGAGAGAGGGAGACACGGAATCGGAAACAGGCTCCAGGCTCTGAGCCATCAGCCCAGAGCCCGACGCGGGGCTTGAACTCACGGACTGCGAGATCGCGACCTGGCTGAAGTCGGACGCTTAACCGACTGCGCCACCCAGGCGCCCCATGATTTTCATTTTAAAGTAGCAAATATGGCATGATCATATGTTTCTAGCATTGCTTTGTCTATCTTTCTGGCCGGCCGGCCAGCCAGCCAGCCTCTAGTCTCTTAGCTGAGTAGACACGCAAAGAGAAACTTGGAATGCCGTCTCCCCAAATGCTAACCCGGGTTAATTCCAGGAGTTTGGATTTGGGCTGGTTTGTTTCTTGACGCTTTGTACATGCATTTTTTTTTTTTTTTTTAAGACAGTGGGATAGTGTTGGGAGTTACTTTACTGGGAAGCTACTGTGCCCTGCGTACTGGGGACGCAGAGGTCCACAGCTCAGCCTTTCTTCCTGCAGCCTACCCCCTCATTCCATTATTTACTGAGTTACACGGTGGGTGCACGAACTGTGCTGGAGGTGGAGGGGCTGATGCTATTAAATGCAGAGAGGGAGGCCCGTTCCCGGGGTGGGGGCGGGGTAGAGGTATTGGGGAACTCCGCCAAGGGCCTTCCTTTGTGGTCTGGCTTTGAAGAGGGGTCAGTGTGGAGGGGACTCGCCTGGGAGCTGGCTCTCTTCCTCTGCTCATCTACTAGGTGCTTCTGGGTGCCCCAGAGTCCCCTATCTCTTCTGAGGGACCCTCTCCCTCTGGGAGAGCTCATTTATGTTAGACTTCCAACACCTCCCGTACACCAGAGATGCCCGGATCTGTGTCTCTATGTTTCTTTTCTTTTCTTTTTTAAATTTTTTTTTTTTCAACGTTTTTAATTTTTATTTTTGGGACAGAGAGAGACAGAGCATGAACGGGAGGGCAGAGATAGAGGGCATTACACAGAATGAAACAGTCTGGTGCCCGGCAGCCATCAGCCCAGAGCCTGACGCTGGGCTCGAACTCACGGAGCGAGATCGTGACTCGGCTGAAGTCGGATGACCACTGCGCCTACCCAGGCTTCTCTCTTTTCTTTTCTAATGTTGCTTATTTTTGAGAGAGAGAAACAGAGCCGCAGCAAGTGCGGGGGGAGGGGCAGAGAGAGAGAGACAGGGAGACGAAGGACCGGGCAGGCTCCAGGCTCTGAGCTGTCAGCACAGAGCCCCGAAGGCTGGGCTCGGAACTCCACGGACCGTGAGATCATGACCTAAGCCAGAAACCAGGACTCACCCCATCCTCCCTTCTCCATCCTCCTCATTCTCCTCTCTCCCCAAGTCCCCAGGTGACGCCTCCCCCATAGCAGCCAGCCTCAAGCCACCGGGTGGTTCACCCTCCTGTTAGCTCCCAGGATCGCAGTCTTCACCCCTCTAGCCTGTTGTCCACGCTGTTGCCGGAGGATTCTTCAAACACGTAAATACACCACCGTGGTTCTTCCCTTCTCTTCAAGCCTCCCACAAGCGCTCAATTCGGAAGACATCACATTTGGCCTCACGCCCGTCTGCACCCTGAGGCTTTGCACATTTCCTTACCTGGGATGCCGTGGTCCCGGGGTGGGGTGGGTGGGGAGCCTCCCTCACCACTCCCAGCACCAGGGCTCTCTGAGCTTTTCCCCACCACACACCCCCTCTACCTAGATTGTGTGTCACATCCGCGGCACAGTCAGGTACACTGTCCATCTCCTGTGCTAACTTGTGTGTTTCTTCCTGCACCTACGAGGCACTCTAACTCAGACAAGTGTTTCAATAAATGTCCGCTGGAGGAGGCAGAAGTCCAGAAACCCAGGGCCACCACCCCTCAACGCTGTTTTAAAAGGGCTTGGCTCTGATCACAAAGCGCACGCAGGTGTCCCGCCTACGGGGCCTTCGCTGCTCAGATTAAAGAAGGAGCCAGACATGTGACTTCGGATCGTCTTCACCACCCCAGGCTCTCTGCCATACTCCTCCCTCTGCTCACTTTTCCCACCTTCTCTGAATGCCAAGATATTTGCATCCCAGTACAATAGAAGCCCCTCCCCCCTCCTCAAGAATCCTCCTAAGGTTCTGCTTCCACTGGGGATCCTATTCAGAACCTGCCACTCACGGAGTGCACACTCGGGTCACACATTTTCAAGGCCAGGCACGCCCCTTGGCTGGCCAGGCCTGTGTCCCCCTGGATGCCCTATGCGCTTGTGTGCTCCTCTATAAGCCCCTGTGTGGTCCTATGGTAAAGCTTTCTGGGCTGCTTGTTGGTCGTGGGCTGGCTATATGAGAGAGGGGAATGAGGACAGGTTTTGGAAATGTGGGAACCACCAGTCCCCTCATGGCACTGCCACACACCCTCCTCCTGACCCCCCCTCATCTGCTGCCCGGCCTCACCCGCACTCCACACAAGCTGGGAGACAGTGTTCGCTGTGGGTCCCCAGCAGCCACCATCATGGGTGCACGCGCGTGTGTGTGCGTGTGTGTGTGTGTGTGTGTGCATTCGTGCGTCCAGAGAGTAGGAACGTAAATGGCCCCGCTGACACATTAAAATTAATTACCAGAGCCATCAGAGATCCCATGAGCTACCTTATTAACTAATTAACTTCAAACTATTCGGCATTATCCTCATTCCTGCTGGCGCTCTCCTCTCGACACTTCCTGCTGAGTGCAGTTCCTTCAGATCCTTCCCCTGGCAAAACTTTCAAGGGCTCCCCATTAACGAAATGAGGAAGGAACCACAGGTGTTCCAGCCCGACGCGGGCCTCCTCCTGAGGGGGGGCCTCCAAGCTTAAACCACATCCGTGTCCTTCCTACTCCCCGGCTCAGTAGGCTACCCCTGCAGCTCTTGGAAGGCAGAGCCGGCTGCCAGCACCTCCACCCCTGCCTTCCCTCAGGCCACTTCTCCATCCCCTGCTTTCCCTCCTCTCCCCGACCTTGTGACCTCAGCCTCAAGGGCCATGTCCACCCTTCTCTTTTTCCAAGGAGCCACCCACAGACCTGCCTGTCCTTCCTCCATTGAACCGTCTGTGTTCTAGACCCTTTATGTCCCACCACATTCTCGCTGTGTGCAATTACCTGGGCCTT